CAGAAAAGCACCTTAAGAAGTTCCATTAATACTCATCATTTCCCTGTGCTCCAGCAAATGGTTTAAAAAGTCATTGTTTATGTGCCTGCATGTCAGACACAGGCAGGGGAGCAAGGGAGAGGAAAACAACTTCAAAGATTCTGTCACCAGCTCCCCATTTGACTATTTAGGATCAAAAGCACGGGCAGCAAAGGAGAGAGGCTCCCAGGTAAAGAGATTATTACCTACAAGATGGGCAGGGAGACTGGAGGAAGGAGCACAGCACAGATGAGCACACAGCTCCCTGCTCATCGCTGCTTCTGTATGTAAACTTTCCCTTGATTATCTCACAGCTATTTCTGACCTGTTTGATGCTCTGGCAGGGGGATTGGGAAATGCAATCACTGGGAATGTTTTGGGTGTACTGATGTATAATATTCTGGTGCTAATTGTTATTCCGGTGCTGAAAAGATTAATAGATTAATTTAGCAAGGATTTTTATTTTTTTTTTTAAATCAGTGGCATATGAGGAATTGTGTCCAGCCTGGAAACTCTCAAAAATAGAAGAGTTTGCAAATGCTGGAGATAAAAGTTGTGTAAATATAGCCCAGTGTTTTTTCAGGGATGCTGTGTCTTGCATCGCTTTGGTGAGAACTGCTGTCCTTAGCTGTAAAATACTGAAGTATTTTAGAAATGCCTGAATTTCCTGTTGCTTGGCATTCAGGCATTCAGCAGCTCTGAGCTCTCCAGCCACTGAACAGGACAAGGATTGCCATCACTACATGGGGCCTAATTGAGCTGTGGGTTACTTCCACACAGCTTCCTCTTCTCTGCTCTTCAGGGAGAAGAATTTGTCCCCCTGCAACACAATGACCTGCATACAGGCGTTTTATCAATTTAAATCAGATGCTTTCCATTAGCACGTTCAAAAATAGCATCTCTGAGGGCACAGGGAATCTGTGTGTCCACTTTTCACCAGGCTCCTCCACATCAGTCATGTGGCAAGGGAGTGATGCACAGAATGGGGACTAATGCTTCCCCCAAGATCTCCCCAGGATAAAATTCCACATTATGAAAGGGAGAGATGAGAGGAAGGGAGACAAATGCACCCAACTTAACAGGGCTGATTAGGGATTAGGGTGGTCATCGAAAATGAAGTTCAAGTCAACAATTTGCCTGGAGTAGAATCAGAAATATCATGGAGATGATACAGATTTTACTGTTTTAGGGCCTTTTTCTTATTTCCTCCAGACAAGGAAACAAGGAAAAGCAATTTCCTTCTCTTTTTTCCACTATATTTTTATAAAGAAAGCTTTCCTACCAAAACCAGGCAGTCCCACCATCAGTTTTGCCTGGGATAGGAAAATCCACAGCCAGCTCCCCACAGAAGAAGCTCTTCTGGAGAGAACCAGAACCTTCTGGGCCACCTCCAGGCCCATCTGCACAAGCACCAGAACTTTCAAAGGCCATGGAATTGCTGCCCATAGGTGGCATGAAGGAAATTCCATCAGAAGTGTTCACTTTGGTGATCAGATAATGTGAAACCAAAGCAACCTCTTCAGTTAAAGACTCAGATCGATATTTCTCTGAATATTGCAGCTGAGGAGAGTCTGACTGTGTGTATCCAGCTGCTCAGTGCTGCTCCTGCCCTGTCAGAAACACATTTCCTCTCCTTGTCACAACTCCCAGGTGCTGCTGCAGAGCATCACTGCCAGAGGTATTTGAATAGAACAAAAAAAATTGATTTGGACAATCTGTGTGCTCTTGTCATTGATGGAGACACAAGTGGGAGCAGGGTTAGGGCTGAGGCCACAGCAAGGTTAAAAGAGAAGTGCCCAGGAATTCTCTCCTGTCACATTTCACACTGAACTGCTCCTGTTTTACAGCAGATGCTACAGACAATACACTCTGCTCCACTAAACAGGGGGAATGTTTAGCTGCATTTACAAGCTGCACTGCAAACTCACTCCAGAACCACTGCACCTGAAAGGCTCCATGGAAAGGGCCAGAATATTGCAGTGTGCAAGCACTGGATGCTGTATTTATGCTATTATTTAATATTGGCCCTCTCCATAGTGTGCAGGCACTAGATGCTGTATTTACCCGTGCCACATCAAAAAACAGACACAAAGGCAGGAATGAACAGGGCCTTGACCATTTACAGGCGGGGGTGAAGCTGCAGGTATAAAACACCCGATCTGAGGGCACTGAGAGGTGGAGCTGCTGTCCTTGCGCAGGGTGTAAAGGACCTGATCTGAAGGCTGGAGCTGCTGTCTTTGTGCAGGTACAAAATACCTGATCTGAAGGCACTGAGGAGCTATCAGGTGGGAGGCCTACCAGCATGGCACAGGTCACAGTTCAGATAAACACAGTGCCTACAACACTGCTCTATTTTACCTTGTGCCTGGCCCTGTATAAGCAAGAAATTACTTGCAAGCAAGGCTTGAAATGCCCCACAAGGAGGGCTGGGAAGTTGTTCTGCCTGGTCCTTCCCTGCACCTCTCCACCTGGGAGCAGGGCAGCACGGGGCACCGACAGCATCAGGGGCAGGCTCTGGAAATGCAGCCCAGCGTGGCAAGCCCAGAGCTCGCTGCCTCTCAGGGGCTGAGGAGGAGGAGGCAGGATGTGCAGGGTGTGCTCAGCACCCCGGCTGTCCCCCAGCACTCCAGGAGAAGCTGTGCTCAAATTGCTGAATCTGTTTCCGCAGGCCGCGCGCGCCTCTCCTTGGACAGCCTCCATAGCTCTGCTCCTTCCCTCCGCTCTGCTGGCAGGCTCTGCTCCTCCTTGGAAGGGAGCACAGCCCCAGCTCCTCACCAGGGCTGCCAGAACGTGTGCAGCACACAGAACACAGCCCTGAAAGGCTCCCCGAAAGGGAAGGGACGGGCTCTGCGGGTCACAGCTGCTGCGAGGGGAGCAGGCCAGCCCTGCTCAAACACTGCTGGGCCACTGATAAAAGCCCTGCCAGAACAGGAGGTGCCAAGGTCTTAGAGGAGTTTCAGGGATGTTTTCAAGTCTTGCTAGATTTAAAGGATGATCCTTGGCAAGCTCCCCCTGATGCTTCTCAGCGTTTCTAGAGCCAACAGTTGTTCCATCTGCTGCTGAGGCTGACTTTGAAGAATCCTTGCAAAGAGCAGCACACTAACTTTAACACCACACGACAGGAGAAAATGCCACAGCTTTTCAGAAGTGACCTAGATGTTTGCCAGTAGCTTGACACACTCTCAGGTGAGGCTGTCTCCTTGTCTCCAAACACTCGAGGGTATTACCAAAGCTGTGCCAGTGTAAACTGTGGGCTCAAAGCAGAGATTCAGTAAACAGCTTCTACTGAAAGCTATTCTGAGGCATTAACTACTCCTCTGTGGAGGTCTGTACAGTAAGAGTGAGAAATATCACCACAAACTAACCTCAGGAGCCAAATTGCTTATGGGGATTAAAAAAAAATAAATCAAAAAAAGTCTGCGAAACTCAAGACGTATTCCCTGACAACAGTTTGAAAAAAATTACATATAAAGAAATCAGCAAAGAAAATAAACTTTTAGAGTTGTTGAACACAAACAAGCTTTGAAAAAGCACAGAAAGGTCCACACAGACACCAAGGAAGGTGTTTAGCTCCAACACATAAGCCTCAGTTTCTGCCATTGTGATGGATTTGCCACTGTTTTCTGAGCCAGGCCACTGCACTATTGTGTAAGCCTTGTTCTAATTGCTGTGGGCTCCAGAAAGGTTTCTTTGCCGTTTAGTATGATAAGTAGCTGTGCTCCCAGGCCGGGTTCAGAGCTCAGAGCAGCCCAGGCAGGTCAGGTGCCCTGAGTGCAGCTCCCACCTCGCTGCTGCTGCTGCTGAGGACAGACAGAGGGATGTGTCTGTCACACACCATTACCATTAGAACAGAGCCTCCTTCTTTCATCCCAGCTGAACTCCCGGCTCTCTCAGCAGGAATGCTAAGTGAAATCAATGTCTGGGATTTCCAGCAAGAGCTGGGAGGTCACAGCCACTCTATCATTTCTCAGCATTCTCCCTTCTTCCCTCGCGCTCCCTCCCAGCCTCCAACTGGCACACAGCAGATTGAAAACAGCATGCAGCACAGGACTTACTCTGCACCGTTCTACAGCCTTTTGGAGCCCCCTTCCTTCCCTTATGGCCCACTTTTTTAGATTATTCCCCCCTCCCCTTTGAAAAATAAGTTCTGTTTGTCTCCCACCGAGCTGCAAGGCAAAGGCACTGCACTCCTGAAATTATGAAAAGCAATAAAACAAAGGAGAAAACAGAGCTGATCTCGACAGCTGCCAGTAAAAGTGGTTATGCTCAATGTTACTAGCAGACATGGCAGGCCTTGGAATCCTGCAACTGCCACAAAACCCACACTGTGCCCCTGAGATCTCCTGAGACACTCTCCTGCTGCACAGCAGAAGCAAATTCAACCCTGAGACTTAAGAGTGCAGGAGATCTGCAAGCTGCCAGCCACACACAAGATTCCCCCTCTTGTAAAATGCACAAACTGGGTTACCAAACACTTTTTAGAAAACCCAAAAATCTACAATCAAGTATTGCGCAGCTTGGTGATTTCTTGCTCTAAGAGGCCAAGCCAAGGAAAAGCCACAGGAAGTCAGAGACTCTGCAGCAAGGAGAGAAAAGAGACGACCTATAGCTTGATTCATCAACACAGCAGCTCCTGATCTCAAGCCACGTCTCATTCCCTGAACATGCATCTCACTGGGCTGACAATGGTGTTATTTATTTGTCTGGTTATTTTTAATCTGCGCTGCTTTACTGTTGGGGTACGAACAGGACACCGCTGTCAGTTCAGGGCATCTCTCCTGACGTGATAAAGGACACGGACAGCGTGCTGGAGGGCACAAACAAAAAGGAAGGACACATGTTCTACCCAGCTCCTGCTGTCACCCACAGAGGGCTGCTCTGTCCCCGCATTCCTCAGCTGAATGATTCCCAGATGTTCTGCAAGAACAAACATTCTCCCATTGCAGGGGGACATCCCCAGAGGCCCAGGGCGGGTACAGTACCTTGCTCTTGGGAGGAGGGCTGGTTGTGCTCTTGTCTGTGTGGATGCTGGTGGGGGACACGGCAGCACCAAGGCTCCCCTGGGCAATGCCAGGGATCTTTCCTCCTGGAGACACCTGCATGGCAGCGAGCTGGGCAGCATACAACTGCTGGGAGACAGAAACAGACAGGGGAAAGCGTGGGATGGGGAGCAACACAGCACAGAAACCATCATGGTTGTTTATGACAAATAATTACAAATAATGCTTATAATATTTATTTATGATACATAAACATAAATAAAGCATCTTCCCAAAACTTCTCCCACGGCACAGAAAACGTTTTCCCTCCAATGGGCAATTTTTATTTAGCACTTGTGTGTCTGAAGACAAGTCACAGACATCTTTTATGGAAAATCCTTTCCTTAGGAGTTTTCCTCCTGAGAAGCTGGGAGGCCTCAGGAACAAAATGCAAACAATGGTTATCTGCTGCTGTGGGATGCAACAGGTGCATCTGTGATTGGTCTCGTGTGGTTGTTTCTAATTAATGGCCAATCACAGTGAGCTGGCTCGGACAGAGAGCCGAGCCACAAACCTTTGTTATCATTCTTTGCTATTCTATTCTTAGCTGGCCTTCTGATGAAATCCTTTCTTCTATTCTTCTTGTATAGTTTTAATGTAATATATATCATAAAATAATAACTCAAGCCTTCTGAGAAGGTTCTGTGCTTCCATTTCATTTTTCTTTATTTTACTTGCTCTGTTTTCCCTGTTTCTTTATTTTACTTGCTGTGTTTTCCCTGTTTCTTTATTTTACTTGCTGTGTTTTTCATGTTTTCCCCCAGGCTGTAAGGTGTCTGGGACAGGGAATGCCAAAATTGTATTTAGTAATGACAGTAGGAGTCCACTCTCAGTGGGATTGTGGGGAACCATTAGAGTCAATATAAATATACACATGTATTGATATGTAAATAAAATGCTGTCCATTAACTATTAGAAGCCCCAGTTAAATCTAAGAAACCTTAGACAGATGCAAATTTGGTCTTTGCATCTATCTAAGAAACCTTAGATAGATGCAAAGATGAAATAAATACCGGGAAGGGATTTTTTCATGCAACAGCCCAGAAGAAAGCCTTATTTCCAGGCGAAAAAATGGAATATATGAAATTTCAAATGTATGCTTTGCCCTCACTTCAGGGATGGACACACCTGAAGAGAATGAAACACGCAGTGTGGTGTGGAGAAACCTGGAAGGAGGGGTGAAACAAAATCTATAAAGACTTCATTCATGCTTTTTAAAACCTTCTGTCCTCCTGTTATCAGATCCAACATCTCACCTCAATTTGATTTATTTTGAGAATTAAAACCAAACATTCAATAAAATTTTATAAAAGCTCCCTTGTTAGAGTCCTCTCTTAAAAGTCTCTGTCTGCAACACAAACCAACTATTCTACAGAAAAAGCAGTATCAGGCCCAGCTCTCAAATGAAAAATGTGTTTATGAAATTGCAAAGGTCTGAAACCTATTTAACCAGGAAGATTGCTCCTATTTCAAAAAATGGAAAGAAACACACAACATGCAGCACTTTTCTTAAAGTTTCGCTATTTTTTGACCTTTTGTATTATTGAATTTGTCTATTCATATTTAAATGCTTCAGGACATCTCCAGCCTATACCCAAGGAAAGGGCAGAGGTGTGACCAAGTGCTGTGAAACTTGGCTAAATGACAATAATTTGTAATTCATTTAATGGACAAACTGAACTCCAACCAAAGAATATCTCTGCTTCTCTAGTGGCATCAGATTTTGGAACAATCAATAAATCTCTGCAGAAATATTCAACTATCACCTAAAATACATCTGAAAACATGCAATGCTGCACATGGGCAGGGGAGAGGAACCATAATCATTTAGCTATAAACAAACAATAGATGTTACTTTTTAATTGCTTTTTCAGAAGCCCAATTCTGTCTTCTTGAAATATTATGTATCTTCTAAAATTCAGACTATTACCCTTATTTATTATATATAGCAAAAATAAACCTGCCCAAAGCTGTGGTGCTTCACTGATTACAAGGGAATGCCTTGGCCACAGTAAAGCAGTCAAGACCCTACAGATAAAAAGTTCCTACATCCTACACAGTATTGAAACCAACACCTCAAAAAGTGCAAGGAAAACAATGTTATTCTCTATCACACTGGTATATACCGGGTTTGAGCCTCTTAATTTTTACCCTGTGTAGGATTTAAGGACTTTTTATCTAAAGGGTCTTGACTGCTTTATTGTGGCCAAGGCATTCCCTTGCAATCAGTGAAGCACTACACTTTGGGCAGGTTTATTTTTGCTATATATAACAAATAAGGGTAATAGTCTGAATTTTAAAAGATATATAATGCTTATTCAGGAAGGCAGAATTGGGCTTCTGGAAAAAGCAATTAAAAAGTAACATCTATTATATAACAATAAAGTTATAATATAATATAACATAATAGAATACAATATAATATATATTAATACATTACAATAATATAATATAATAATATATTATAATAGTATTTTATTATAATATATTATAATACTATATTATAATATATAATAATAATATTGATATTATATATATAATAATATAACAATATTGCATGTTTTGTTAATCTTTTCTCATTAACCTCTTGTGAAAACCTGCAAGGAAGCAAAATCATCAGAACAAGAGCACAATTTGATACACTTTAAAGCAAGCAGGAGGTATTGTTAATTTTTTTATGCTGCCCCTCTATTTTTAGGGTATCCAACCAAAGAAACCCTTTCTCCCTAGGTCAGCACCTAAACCATTTATGATTTTCCCAATACACTGAGCAGAAATATTCAGCTGCACTCTGTGAATGGAGCAGGAGCTCTTGGCTGGGTGACTCTGCAGCTCACCAGCAGCAAACCCAGAGGTGAGGCCAGCCCTGGAAACTTCCCCTTGGGACCGGCTGCTCCACGTTAACAATGCTCATTACTGCTCCGAGGCTACGCTCAGAATGAATTCTCGTTCTATTAATACAGAAAACGAGAATGAGATTTAACTGCAATTTTCAGAAGGGTTGAACAAAGTGCCAGCAATTACACAGGCAGGAATAGTTGATTCAAGCACCTATAGGCGTTTGGATTACAGTATTATCTCTTATTAAAATATTTTTATTAGTGAGCAGTGGAGATTAAGAGCTGTTCATAAAAAAAACACCACAGAGAGAGACAGGTGGTGGGAACTGAATCAGTGACTGCAATAAATTTGTTTCTGATAAAGTGTTTTTCAGTGAAGATAGCACAGTGATGAATTTACAAACCACAGCCCCCAAGTGTCTGAACTGTTGAGTGATCCACCACTTCAATTTCTTTGTCATTCCGAGACCCATCATTAAAAATATACACATGAATGGCCTTGCTCTTTGTTTTTGGGGTTTTTTTTGCATAATCAGAGGGGGAGGGGGGAATGGTATAAAATGAAACTCACTCAGAATACATGAATTTCATTTTTCTTTACCTCAAATTTATGCTTCCATAAGGCATGAAAACTTAGATTAGGGCAAAAAGAATTTTGCAATTTTGCCTAATTTTGAATCTGCTCAGGTGGTTTTTTAGTTGAAAAGGAAAAAAGAATTCACTGAAAACAAACACTTGATGTACGTCCTACTGAGACAGGTTTTTTAAATCACTGGCAACATAGACAAAAGCTACAGAAATTAGAATTAAAGCCGCACTCATTAGTGATTGGTAGCAATGCTTGCTAGATATTCTACCAAAAAGTTCTTTATTTACATATTTGAAATGCCAGATTTTATTTCTGTCTGAGTTTCCTTCTAAGATTGTTAGTCAAACATTTCAAAGGGACAAGGTAATTTGTACATACAAACTTCAGCAAAGGCTTCTAAGTGCCCCTTGCTTGCATCCAATGGGAGATTTTCAGAAAACAAAGATAATATTGGAACACAAAGACAGCAGGTTCCTCTAAAAACTCACCAAAGAGTGAGTTTGCACATTGCAAGGTGAATTTGCTAGCTTCCACTTTGGGGTCATTTCAGATAATAACAGTAATAATGACAACGATAATATATAACATATGTTATTAATAACATATAGAGCTCAGGATCCTGAGAGGCATGTAACAGTATTTTGGTTTATTTGGGGACTTATTTTGTTTTGGTTTGTTCCACCCAGTTCTGAGCACAGCCAAGAGTTATTGCTGCTCCACCTCACACCTGCCTTAATCCCAAACCATTCCCACAAGGAACTGCCCAGTGCAAACTCTGGGGCAAAGGACCTTGTCTGCACTAAAGTTTCCTTTATTCACCAAGCAAAAACCAGCAAACTGCACCAATTCACCCCAAAATGTGAACCACACAGAGAATAGAGAAAATAGGCTAAATATTGGAACACTGCCCTGCTCCTTGCCATGGCCTCACAACCCAGCTGCCTTCCTTTTAAACTCCCATCCTGGCTATTCCCTGCATCCAGCCAAAGAGAAGAAGACAGACAAGTAAATCACACATCAAGGAACAATAAAAATTATTAGAAATTTGGGACTGGGCTAGTTAATAGTTAATTAATGTACTGCTTCTAATGAGAGAGCATTGGTGACACGTGGAGGAATTCTCTACCTAGAGAAATTCTGACTCATGGTGTTTCAGATCAGATGTGCTCCATGAAGGTGAACTTTAAACAAGATTTATTGTGCTCAGTCATATTTTACATCTTGTTCTGTCAGACCAGACAACATAATAGTCTCTCTAGCCTTAAAAAAGCCCTGAGACTTAGAAGGAAACACTGAGGAAAACAAGTTCTCATTAGAAAAACTGTGCAGCATTCACAAAGAGAACAAGGCTCCGCTTGTACCCAGGCACAGCCCCAGCAACCACCATCCCTCTCATGTTATAAAAACATCACTGCTAGAACCAGGGACCACAGGGCTCCCCAGAACAGGATTCTGATCTCCAGGGTTCCAGGCTGCAGCCCTGCTCCTGAGAATAACCCACTGCAGCCACCAGCCAAACAATGCTTGCTTTGACTCCAGAACCACGAACAAAGCAAAGCATGCATGTGCAACTCATGGCAGCTCTGAGCTTTCTTAGAAACTGGTGTGACTTTGATGGGTAGGACACACATTTTAACTAAAGCACAACTCTGTTTGTATTT